GTGGTGTTGGCCTGCCTGGGTGATCTGCGGCAGGCCCTGGAAGCGGTGAGTGGTCCTTTGGGCAGGCGGGGCGGGGGATGGGGGGCAGAGCAGGGGCGGGGCCAGTTTTTGGGCACTCGGTCTTTAAAAGGTTCGCCATCACTGATCTATAGGCAATCTGCTCATAAATGGCAAGGGAAATTAAAATCTTCAATGTGTTGACTCAAAGGGCCATACATTGGACAATGTTGTTAACAAGTGTTGTAAATGCTGCCACTGAGTTACATTTAATAGATAATTTCAGCACAGCATATGTTAATTCATATTCATCACCTATCAATTGGTCCAAAATCAATATTCCAGTTTTCATCCAACTTATCCATATCATTATTTTTTCCCAATTTCTTAATGCTGGGTTTCCCCATAAAGTCAGTTTAGTATAGGAATACAGATCAAATTTGTTTTTAGACATTACACTCCATAGCCTTCTAACCAATATAATTGTCTCCAGAATTGCTATAGTTCTATTATATTTGAATCCTAATACTGTCCACATACCAAGGGTGCCATATATGTATATTGTATTACAAAATAACCCGAATCAGAAAATTAAGACCAATTGTTGGTTTCCAGTATTCAGTACTTGGCAATATATAAGCATGATAATATAACTCCATGTCACTTTTACATATACCCAGGTCAGGGGTAGGCAACCCAAAACACTCAAAGAGCCACTTGGACCCATTTCCCACCGAAAACAAAACACTGGGAGCCACAAAACCCTTTTGATATCTAAAATGAAGATAACATGCATATATCCTTTTTTACCATATATGCAGTGTTATCTTCATTTTAGATGTCAAAGGGTCTCTCTCTGTGTCTCTCTCTCTCTCTCCCTCCCTCTCTCTCTTTCTGCCCTTGGTCTGCCAGTCCTCTTCCCCCACTCTTTCTTTCTCTCTCTCTCTCTTTCCTCTCTCTCTCTCTCTCTCTCTTTCTCTCTCTCCTCTCCCTTTCTCTTTCTCTCCCCCTCTCTCTTTCCTCTCCCTCTCTCTATCTTTCTCTCCCCCTCTCTCCCTTTCCATTCCCTCTCTTTCTTTCTCTCTCTTTCTCTTTTTCTCTTCCCCCCTCTCTCCCTCTCTCTGATCTTCTGTTTATCTGGCAAGCTGACTTCAAGCTCTTCTCCAACAAGCTCAGGGGTAACCTCGGCTCTTTTATGATTCATGGACTTCAACTCCCAGAATTCCTGAGTCAGCATAGCTGGGCTAGCTAGCTCTCTCCTGTGCTTCCTGCTTCCTGCTGCAGAGGAGGCTGGGAGCCGCAGAGGAAGGCTCAAAGAGCCACATGTGGCTCCGGAGCCACAGGTTGCCAACCTGTGACCCAGGTCAATGGGCTCCAAAACCCCAGAGCAGAGGTAGGCAACCTTGGCTCTTTTATGACTTGTGGACTTCCTGAGCTCAGGAATTCTGGGAGTTGAAGTCCACAAGTCATAAAAGAGCCAAGGTTGCCTACCTTTGCCCCAGAGAGTCAAACCCACCCCACCTGGCCTCCAGGCCTCCACCCATAAATACTCACAGGCTAGTACTTCCTGTTTACCTTATAATTCTTCCCAATTCTGCTACAACTCCTTTTCCTCTGCTACATCTCATTATGAATCCTACTTCTGGAAAACAGTAACTCTTTTATTTGCCTTGGGCTGCTTCAGGCCGGTTTAGTTTCCCCCAAAAAACACAAACTACCTTCTCTCTCACTCCAACACAATCACCACCAGCTGCCTCTCTGCTCAGCTTTTACAGCCACCAGTTGGCTGGCTAGGGAGAATTCTTAGAGGGACAGGGCACCGGCAACCCAGCTGCTAACCATTTTGCAGGCAGCCTGTCCTCTCACACTGCAGATTTGGAAAAAACGAATCCTCCTTCATTAACTAGCAAGGGCATTTTCTGTAAAGATATTCTTGGAATTGAAGAACCCCATAAAAATAAAATTCTAAACAAATAATTTATTAATTTCTATTCTGAGAAAAAGTCTTCTCAGAATATAAATTAAACTGGGAACAATACTCATTTGGAGAATATTCACCTTTCCCCAAAAGATGAGAGTTACAGATTCTCATCTATCCATATATGAAGAAACCTCATTTTATTACATGTTAACTGTGTCATGGTTCCAAAAGAAGAAGCTCTTCAAAGAACTTTGAGGCATTGTTTACCTTAAAGAATCTTTAATTGCAACATAGCTTCAGCATGTACATAGAGAAGCCAAAATCTGAATTCTCCTCTCCCAAACATACAGTATCTAAACATAACTCACTCCTTCATTTAACAGTCATTAATCACATTCTCCAATTAATTTGAAGTGTGAACTTTCCCTCCCGTTCCATAACTGCCATTACTTATCTCCTTTTATTACAACCAACCTTGAAGAATACTCTACTGAGATATTGTTATGGCTAACTAGTCCCCAAGTACATTCTTCCCCCTCCCCCCCCCCAGCACCATCTAATTTTAACTCTAAAAGTAATACACAGGTTAAATAGAAAATGTCTGCATCTTCATATATTGTCAAGCAAGAACATCCAAAGTTAGCAGCATTGACAAACTGAGTTATACCTCTCATTATCTACATGCCTCAATATTTAAGGGATTTGGTACAAATATAGAATTGATATTCCTTAAATGGATAAGTGACCAGATTTTCCATGAGAAATGAGATAACTTCCATAAAGGAATCTGTGCAAAGTTCTTTTACGTGATATAACCATATACTGTGTTCTTTTGAAAGAGCACAAGACCTGATTTTTAAGTATGGATTTAGCACTTCTTTAAAAAAAAAATAGTATATCCCTAACTTAACAATAGGACTAATGTTCACTTCAGAGAGCACAAGTCCTGTGCTTTATGGAAGATTGTTTTCAACTGGGAAAAGTACAGCCAGCTGTGAATTACTGGTTCTGTCACCTATGAGAAAGACAGGATTTCTGCTGCTCTGCCAAGAAGTGATTTTGTGTGGCCACACTTTTCAATGTTTTTATTCTGTGAGGGAGAGGCCACCGCTACCTAAAGTGTAGTGTACTTCTGGATGCTGCTCGCTCTGTCCTTTCTCTGCCTCCATTGCCTCTTCTTGGCAACCTATGTTTAAGAAATAGTATATACAATCCAAGGATTGGTCAGAAGCATCTTCCCCAACTGGACATCCTCTAGAAGTGTTGGACTATAATACCAAATAACCTGGAATGGATAGGTTATTGTAATGTATTGTTGGTAAGGATCTGTATTGGATAATTGGTCCCACTGGTCACATTCTAGGCCAGGTTAAGGACTTCGGCATTTAAATGGAAAATTTTAATTGACATGTCAAACTTTAGCAAGATCATGTCTATTGATTCTTGAAAAATGAAAAAGAGAGGTCCATTATAAAATATATGTACATTATAAAACCAAATAAAAGATAAGAGCACTCTACTTCTTGCTTATAATTTTAAAATGTATACCAAAAATCATGCCACTGGTAAAACCAATCTATCATTTACTGACTTAGAAAATAGCCTGGAAACACAACAGGGAGACCTCCACAGACTATTGAAGGATGGTAGATACAAATATCAACTAAATAGATTTTTTTTGATGAAGATGCAAGCATGTTTAAACATGCTGGTCCATTTTTATTTCTAATATTACATTACAATTACAATACATTACATTACATGCTTTATAATTTTCAAGTCAGCCTGTTCCTAACTTGGAAATGAAAGTACCACCTTGAATACATCAACTTCAGCAGCATAGGCAAATACTGTAGCAAATTCACTTCAGGGCATGTGTCCTTGGAAGAAAACTCTGCACATTTCTATATTTTTCTTCCTTCAGTCCCATAATATAGCCACCAATCAGCATCATTTAACATACAAATTTACAGCAGATAGTAATTTATAAAAGCAATAATTACCATCAGTTTTTAAAATGCAATCAATCAAACTCTAATCCTAAACACAATCCAAATGGGAAATCAAACAAGGGAATTAGCTGTGAATCAAAACTGAGATCAAAAGCTTTCTTTAAAGTCACCGAGAGGCCACATTTAACTGGCAGACTTTATGGCAGAGGTCCTCAACCTCCGGTCCATAGACCAGTACTGAGCCAAGGCATGCCAGCAACCAGTCCACACAAACAAGCAAAGCCCCATCCGTGAGATGCAGACAGCATACAAAACCATGCACCCTCCGGTCTGCGGAAAAAGCTCTCTCCACGGAACCAGTCCCTGGTGCCCAAAAGGTTGAGGACCTCTGCTTTATGGTATTTATCTCCATTCCCCAGCCTGAAACTCTCTTCCCTGCACAAAACTATTACATTGTTGAAATGTCTAATTCTTAAAGTAAAAGATGCTTTACTGCTACGCCATAACAAGACCTATTTAGAGAACAACTTGTTTCCCACACTGGCCAAAAATATCTACCTTTGGAAAGGATACAAGGAAGAGATGACTTTTCATATTCAGATGTGTGCTGCTTCTTGTCTTGATAGGCAGCATGGGATAACATGGGCCTCTGAGCCTAGCCCGTAGAGTTTGCAGTGAAATTCCTTTCCTAGAATTTCATTCTTTTGTAACTCTTTGGTTCTTCTCCTGCAGTGAGAGCTGCTTTCTCCAGATAGCCAAAGACATAATTACCATCGCTTCTCTTGGCATGTGGGATTCTATTTTGCTTGATTCTGCTTTGGCTGGTATATGCTTTCTCCAATAGTGAAAGATGCCAGGTGGCCTGAGAGGGTCTCCTAAGAGCCCTGCCTTAGAAGAAACTCCACATGAACTGCAGGATAATTGAAACCAACCATGTACGGCAAAGTAGGAGGCAAGGATTCCCAGATTTTCCCTACTTAAACTCCCTTCATCAAAACAGCAGCTCCAAGGTCCCTTCCAACTTTATTATTATTATAATGTACCTTTGTTTTAGTATTCCACATCCTTTACAAACGTCTGGCCTTTATTTTTATTTGATTCTAGTTCTGAAAGTTGGATCTAATACTTACCGCCAATGTAGATGGTGACATCACTGCCAGTGTAACCAGTAGGATTAAGAATACCATTGTGTCCTGCAGATGATAAGAAGAAAGTAATCTCAAAAGGAGAAACTGTGTTTAAAAAACAAAGGGAACTTCCCTCTCCATCTCTCTGTCATGGATCAGTTTGCTTTCTCTCTCTCTCTCTCTCTCTCTCTCTCTCTCTCTCTCTCTCACACACACACACACCTGCTTTCCTCTCTTCAAGTTGTAGTTTAGAGTGATTTTCACCAATGATCTTCTTTAGTAATAAAAATCTTCATGTATTACTAGATAAAATTTTACTTCAGAGGGAATGAATGTCTGCTAACATCCATTGATAGTTGATAGTCAATACTTTGCATCCTAATAATTTCATATTATGAGTAATTCATTATTCATAATAAGCCATATTACAAATAATTACTGTGAATGCATTTTCCATATCATGGGACATTCTGTAAATTATTCAGTATTCTTTGACATTCTGCTTATGTTCAAGAGCATATCCTCTAAGAAGTGCTGCTTCTCAATTCAACAAGAGTAGCAAGGATTATTTACAAACAATCCAAATTGTGTTATTTTTTTTAAAAAAAAGTAGAAAAAAATACATAAATGAATAAAGACAGAGATCACAAAAGGGTTAAAAGAGCAAAAGAGAAGTGAATAAGCATTAGTTTTATAAATATCACAGAGGTTATAATTTTCCAGGAGGTCATTACTTGACTAGGAATCACTATTAAGCTCCATAGAAAACATAAATATCAGGAACCATGGTCAGTACAGTATAAATCACAGAACGAAATTATGAACTACAATAAATTCTGGCAAATTAAATTACAATGTCTCTTTTCATATGTGAATTGGAGTAGAAAAATGGCTGCTGGTTTGAAGTTAAACATTCTTTTATCCCTCTGCCCAAAGTAATTTTTCATTTGAAGGCTGTTCTTTTCACACTACAGGTAATTCTTGACTTACAACCACAACTGAGCTCAGAATATTGGTTATAGATCATTGTAATTCACTATGTGTCCAGATTCAATTTTATGACCATTTTTTATGATGGGCATTAAATGAGTCATAATAATAATAATAATAATAATAATAACAACAACAACAACAATAAAGGACTCGATAGGTAAACAAAATGTCAAATCCAGTCTGAACATCTGGCTGACTGTGCAATGATCCATCATCATCATCATCATCATCATCATCATCATAATAATAATAAAGTTGGAAGGGACCTTGGAGGTCATCGAGTCCAACCCCCTGCTCAGGCAGGAACCCTACACCATTTCAGACAAATGGCTGTCCAGTCTCTTCTTAAAAACTTCCATGTTGGAGCATTCACCGCTTCTGGAGGCAGGTTGTTCCATTGGTTAATTGTTGTAACTGTCAGGAAGTTTCTCCTTAGTTCTAAGTTGCTTCTCTCCTTGATCAGTTTCCATCTGTTGCTTCTTGTCCTGCCTTCAGGCGCCTTGGAGAATAGCTTGACTCCCTCTTCTTTGTGGCAGCCCCTGAGATATTGGAACACTGCTATCATATTCCCCCTTGTCCTTCTCTTCGTTAAACTAGACATACCCAATTCCAGCAACCGTTCCTTATATGTTTTAGCTCCAGTCCCCTAATCATCTTTGTTGCTCTTCTCTGTACTGTTTCTAGTGTCTCAGGATCTTTTTTACATCGTGGTGACCAAAACTGGATGCAGTATTCCAAGTGTGGCCTTACCAAGGCATTGTAAAGTGGTATCACATCTGCCAGTTCCTTGAGAACCTTGGGGTGTAATCCATCTGGTCCTGGTGATTTGAACTTGTCTAGGCTGGACAGGTGCTCACGTATCATTTTCTTGCCTATCTTAACTTGTGTTTCTATACTGTTTTTATGGCACTAGTTTTGATAGGTTGGTCTGTTTTTTCCCTTTGTGTAAAGACAGATGCAAAAACTGAGTTAAATAGTTCTGCTTTCTCCCTATCGCTAGTCACCTTCTTACCACTTTCACCCACTAATGGACCAATCATTTCCTTCACTTTTTTCTTGTTTTTTACATGTTGAAAGAAGCTTTTTTTGTTATTTTAAGCGAAATACATGGTTATTAAGCAAATCATATGGCTATAAATCCAAATCTAGCTTATCCAATGGGTGTTTTTTTTTGCCAGAAAACAATTATATGACCATGGAATGCTGCAACCAGTCATAAATGCAAGCCAGTTGCCAAGCACCTGAAATGTGATCACATGATCTCATGGTGCAGCAGTCGTAACATTGAGGGTGGGTCATAACTAACTTTTTGTTAAGCCAGTGTAACTTCACGTGGTGGTTTAACTGGCTAGTGTGAGTAAAGGGCTATCTGTAGTGATTGCAGTATGTGTCAACAGATCAGTAATGAAGACAAACTATATATTGGTAGATGACAGTACAAGATACTATAAATCATTAACCTGGAAACGGCCTCTGTCATTTCCTTCTACACATAATGTATATGACACTTAACTTGGCCCTTCAGGAGAGGGTATTTTGTTACATTTATTTTACACTGTTCCCTGGTTCCACCATTGTTGGATCTTCAATAACTATCTTCTGTTCCTTTGAAAGAAATTTCAAGGGTTGTGCAGTCAGAGGTTGAGAATCGAAGGAAATTTTCACTGATTAATCCGGATCTGATTCCCATGTTTCTGTCAGTCAGGGGAAAGCCTTCAATTAATTAGTTTCCCTTTGTTGCACTAAATGGGGTACATGTGCTTTTATTAAACTTTTACAAGTTTTCCAGCTCCAGTTTCCCTGCCTTAGAAGTACCTTCATTTTATTGGGCAAAAGAGCCAGCTGCAGCCATCTTCACATGTCAGCATCAATGGCTTTGGGGGAGGGGGACAGGTGCAACCACAGGAAATGGTACCAGCTTACTTATTTTCCTTTTATTTCTTCAAAGCTAGGCCAGGTTTGTAGAAATGCAGATTTGATAATCCCATTCAAAAAGACTGAGGCCCCATTCATGAGCAAATACTACCTACAGAAACTCATTCAAGAAAGGATCTTTCGAAATCTCTTGGAGCAAGATTTGATAACTAACAACACCAGAGTGATAGGATTAGAACCAGCAACCCCTCACCCAAAAATCCAACACAGGACATAGCCATCAGCCCCAGCTGCAGAGAAGCAGGACATGACCTTTAGGACATAATAGGATTAACCCATCACCATTAGAATACTAAAAGGGCAAACTGAACCTCAGGTCAAAGTTCATGCCACAGGAACAGGAAGAAACACAAAAGCCCAAGAAGGTATAAAAACCCACCATTCCCAGTTCCATGTGGTCAGCTACCCCAGAGCCACATGCTGTTGTGGTTCTGCTCTTCAATAAACAAGAACCTTCTTTCTAAAGCAGTCTCCATTTTGTTTATTCTTGGCTTGGACTGGACCCTGATGAAGATTTTTCTTTCAACAGAATAGTATTAAAAAGTATACCCCGTTTGATTTTCAATATTTTCTTTGAATTTTACAGATATAGGAAATAGTAAAACATATAATCATTAACGTTAACTAAATTTCAGTAGCCACCCTATGCATACAAATAAGATTATTGGCTAGATGCTCAAATTTTGTTCATTTCTCGTGTGTTTTTAATTAAAAGTGAATTTATTAAATTTATTAAAAGGCATAAAATAAGTAATTTCTATTTCATTTTTATTTCTTCTGATTAAAACAAAATTTTAAAAGGGCACTTTGGACAGTGAGATGGGCAGCATATAAACAAACATTTTTATGGGCCCTAGGCACTTTATCTATAACACTTAATTGATAAATCAGTCCTGAGTGAGAGAGTGCTGATAATCAGTGCTGGCAACCAAGCAATGATAGGCTGACAATTTGTATTTTAGTATTGGGTAAAAAGGAGCAGTGTTGATTGGTTCTAGAATCTACACATGCTTTTCCTTGTAGGGAAAATATTGAGGTAACCCTGAAAGGAATTTTCTAATTCATTCATCAGTGTCCATATGAGGATGTTTGTATGAATAGAGCCAAGCCCATTAAAAGTGTCTTAAGACAGATGCTTACATTCCAAAAGGACAAATAAAGGTTGTTAAGGAAGTTCTGACAAAAAGTCTGCTTCTTTTTGTTTTTCTCTCCTCATGGTGGGCAAAGGAGAAGGAGAATGTGTCTGCTCTCTCTCTCTCTCATACTTACCTGAAGCCCCTAGTGAGGAGTGGGATAAAAAAACACAAAAAGTTATTTCCTTCCCCCAGGAGTCCTTATGTATACATCCTTATTTATTTATTTATTTATAATTTCCCAGCCAGGGGTGCTCATACCCCTAGGGGATGTGAGACGATATTCCAGGGGGTGCGAAAACTTGGGTTTTCAAAATTATAATGTACATGCATAATTAATTGCTGTTATTTTGAACTTTTGTAAGGGGTGCGAGAATATATCAGAAGCGTTCTAGGGGTGCGGGGTATAGAAAAGGTTGGGAACCACTGATCTACAAGATATGAACTATCTCTAGAATAACATGGAATGAGCTTTTTTATTGAAATCAGAAAAGCTTTGGCATGGGATAATGGGTCATCTAGAAAATTCCAGAACCCAGAATATCTTTTCAAAACTATGGCAATTTATTTGGAATGTACTATAAAAAGCATATTCAAACATTAGATGCCTCAGGGAACCAATAAAGCTTGGTTGCAATAGTCTTGCTGCTAAAGATAAAAATCAGGAATTTGCAGTACTCAAGTACTGTTACTACTACATCTGGAGGGGTGTGTGGCATGTAGTTCAATAAAATTATCACTCTATATGCTGTTGAAATCTATAATTTGTTTTTGGCTAATATTTGAACATCTCAAGTATTTGAAAATTAACAAGAGATCAAAAATGGAGGAGTTTTCAGTTTCAATGGTTGGCTAGAACAATTATACTGTACTGGAAAGGTATTTCTATGAACAATTATCAAGCCAGATAGTGAACTGAAAGGAGAACTGCAAACTAGATTCCCTACTCTAGAATGTGTCTTTGGGATGTTGCCAGTCTCTCTCCAAGTCCGGATTGTACAGCTG